CTCTCATTCAGAGCCTTTTCTCAGGGGTCCCATCACCTCACTGAACTCATCTCTTCACAAAACCCCTCTCTTCTCTGTACCCCATCTTCTCTCTAATCCCTCCTGAGCCCTACCCCAGCAGCGCCTTCGCGAGCCTCTTGCCCTCACTGACAGCCTGGCTCCTGCTGTCCCCGCTAGGCCTATTGCTCTCACTATCCCTCCCACAATTCCCCTACCCTCTGCCCTCCAAACCCCCAAAGCCCCACCCCCATCTCACCCCCATCATACCCCCATTAGAAATCCCTTCCAGGCCCAGATACCCTCTCCTCTTTGAAAGCTTCCCACCTCACCCGACAGAATAAATACCCGCTCCCCATGTCACCGCAGCACTGCTCTCACTTGAGTTGTGATCAGTCCTTCACACCTCTGCCCGCCCCCACCTCCACCCCCAAGCAGGCTGAGCTCCCTGAGAGCAACACGCATCTGCTGACCCCAGGCCACAGAGCAGTGTTCAGAATGATTTGTTGGCAGCAGCTGAGAGTGAAACTGTGGGAATAGAAAAAAAAGTTTAAAAAGATTTAGGCCAGCCCTGGCTGGTTTGGCTCAGTGGACAGAGCGTCAGCCTGCGGACTGAAGGGTCCCAGGTTCGATTCCAGTCAAGGGCACATGTCCAGGTTGTGGGCTCGATCCCCAGTAGGGGGCAAGCAGGAGGCAGCCAATCAATGATTCTCTTTCATCATTGATGTTTCTATCTTTCTCTCCCTCTCCCTTCCTCTCTGAAATCAATAAAAATATATTAAAAAAAAAAAAAAAGATTTAGGCCAGAGTTGTCCAGAAGGTGTAGGTGGAGGGCAAGAGCTAAGAGTCAGATACATCTAACATTGTTTTAGCATTTTTATTTTATTTAAAAAAATTTTTTTTATGATTTCAGAGAGGAAGAGAGAGGGAGAGAGAGACAGAAACATCAATGATGAGAGAGATTCATTGATCAGCTGCCTCCTGCCCGCCCCACACTGGGGATCAAGCCTGCAAGCTGGGCATGTGCCCTGACCGGGAATCGAACCACGACCTCCGAGTTCATAGGTTGACACTTAACCACTGAGCCATGCTGGCCCGGCTCATCGAACGTTTTGAGCCCCTGAAGACCAGGTGCTTTCCCTTCTCTGCCATTCTGCACAAAAGGAAGTTCAGAGCGGTTCAGTTCTTGCTCAAGGCCACACAGGATTAGAACCAACGGTGGGCAGAGGTGTGGATGGCTACGGCAAGGGTGGCTGACTGGTGAGCGGGTTGACACGTTTCTCCTCTGTGACAATGTGGGTCTGGGGTCTGAGCTGGATCTGAAGGGCCTCCCTGACCCACCAACCTCTCCTAGAAGGAGCCAGTTCTGACTCAGGCCTCTTCCCATCGATCCTCAGGGTGATTCGGGAATGAGCTCCAAAACAGGAAGGAAACATCTCTCAGATTTGCCCCCCCCCCCCGCCCCCAGGCCCTGGCTCTAGGGCCGGAAAGAGCCACTTTAAGGATCTCCCTGGGGACCCATGACCAGAAAGACAGATGATCGTGTCACAGCAAGTGTGGCCAAGAGACAGGCCGGGCAGGCCGCTGCAGCTCCACCTCCTTATCCCCCATCTCCCGCTCACTCTTTCGAGCCTGTCTCACCCAGGAAGCCAATCCAATTTGACCTTCCACCAGGACCCATGATAGAGGGTCAGTGCGCCCTGGCATCCCGGACAGAGTACTGTGGCCCCTCAGAGAACTCCTGAAAGACTCCTTGACCACCCTCCCCCTCGGGCTCCTGAGGGCAGAGCGGCTCTACCCCCTCGGCCTGGAGACCCTCAGGGCTGAGTGGGTGTCTCCCCCCACCCCTGACAGACCACTCGGGCCAGGTGACCGGTCACTTCTAGTCACCTCATCAGACTCGGGGCTGCCCCAGGGCAGCACCTGCGTCCCCCTTTCTGTCGTCCAGCATCTGCCTTTGGTCCCTAGAAAAGAGAAGAGAAACGGCCCCCTGCCCTTCTGCCCAACCCGGATGCTCCTTTAAGACCAAAGGGATGGGGGTGGTATCAGGAGTCAGACACAACAGCCCCATCCTCCCCCTCCCTCACAGGCCAGGTTTCCTGCCATTGACAGCATCCCAGCTGGGCCCTGCCCAGCCTCCAAGCTTAACCCCTTCATGACCAGGTCTCAGGACCACTTCATCTATAAAATTAGGAGATCAAAGTACCCATTTCATTTGGTTGTTTTGAGGATTAAATGTGCTAATCATTTGTTTGAAATACTCAGAATAGTGCCTAGTATTTATTGATCTCTCAATAAAAGTCAACAATTAGTCCTAATTGTGTGAGCTTGGATCAGTCATTTCCCCTCTCTGAGACGCAGTCTCTTCCGCTGTCAAATGGGAAGAATAACAAAACCTACTCGTCTAAGATTGTCCTGGGAATGGACGGTGATAAAGTACATGAAAGCATTTTGTACAGTAACAGCACCATAGGAAACTATCATGGACAAAATAATAATAATCCTAACTAGGTAATAAAAATCTCTTACCAGGCTGAACCGGTTTGGCTCAGTGGATGGAGCGTCGGCCTGCGGACTCAAGGGTCCCAGGTTCGATTCCGGTCAAGGGCATGTACCTTGGTTGCAGGGCATGTACCTTGGTTGCGGGCACATCCCCAATAGGAGGCGTACAGGAGGCAGCTGATCGATCTCTCTCATTGATGTTTCTAACTCTCTGTCCCTCTCCCTTCTTCTCTATAAAAAATCAATAAAATATTTTTTTTTAAAATCTCTTACCAGGAGGTGGGCCTTCTGGTTTTCAGACCCATTACCTTACTTGACAGGCAGAGGGTGCAGTGGAAGGAGTGGGTTTGGGGTTGGGCTTGGGCAAGTCTCTCCCTTCTCTGACCCAGTTTCCTTACCCTGCTGGTCACCGTCTAGGGTCCTTGGGAGGGACAGAGATTGGAGAGCACAGGGGTGAATGTGCTTTGCAGCGGCCAGGTAGAGGAGGGCAAGCCCCTGGCAGGGAAATTGTCTTTGAACTCTGGGCACTACAGAGTTTACCTGCCGGGGAGTGGGGAGGAGCCCTCCTGGCACCAGCACTGTGGGGACTGGGCTCCTCTTGAGACATGAGGTGCCAGACAAGAAACCGTGCCAGCTCTAGAAGTCCCCAAGTTGGGGCAGAGGAGAAAGGAGGCCAAAGGACCTAGACTTGACCTCAAACCATCCCTTCATCTTCCTGTTCCCAGTCAGTCCCCTTTGCCATCCGAGGACTTTGGGCAGAGGCACCTCCAATGGGCTCCCAGGTGACCTTCAGGCCAAGACTTGCTGGGACAGGCTCAGCCTGAACATCCGCAGCACCTCTGCCCCCACCCTCAGGCTGCAGATTGCTGGCCTCACCCATGGGGAGCAGCTTGATGCCCACACCCGGACCAGGACAGGTCTCAGCCTGCTACAGAGGGGAAGGCACAGTTATTAGAACGCTGCTCTGTCTTCCTATTCCAACCAAGAGGATTTGCCAAGGCCCAGGGCAGGCTGACCCCACGTGAACAGCATGTCCCCACCCCAAGCCTCTGAAGGAAGCCTGGGCATCAGGAGAACTTGCTTGGGGTCCTGGCTGTGCCCCAAGCTCACTGTGCCTCCAGCCAAATCACTGAACCTATCAGGGCCTGTGTGACCACCTATAAAATAAAGGAGCTGGGCCCGCTCCATAGGCCTCTCCAACACAGACTGTGACCAGGAAGGAGTTAATGGAGGCCAGGCGCTGGGTCAGGAAGGCGAGGGTTAATCTGGGGGGGGGGGGGTGGAGGCTCTCTCAGCTTTTCCTGTGGAGAGTGAGGTTTGGCTGCCACCAAAGTTACTTCTAGTCCCTGCTGTCCCTCCTGCCCTCAGTCTGGACCTGCCTTCAGCCTCCCCACACAGAGGTGAGTGCATCCCGAGCCCAGTGCTGAGATGAGGGGGAGGGGGGGCCACCCAGGGACCCAAAGGCGGGGAGCCTGGCTCCAAGCTAATGAGCACAGTTCCCCAGCCCTCATCTGGAGCAGAAGCCCTGGACAAAGGTCGGACCACTAACCCCAGGACTGGGAGAAAGTGGGCGAAGGGATGTCTGCCAGGCATCTAGGGTGGGACATCTGTGGTTGGGCAAGGCCAGCCCAGAAGGCAGGGAAGAGGCAGTGGACGGCAGACTATTTTGGTCCCTGTGTTTAGGGACTTTTTATAGCCTCTGCACTTGGGGCTGGGAAGAGGCGGAGGGGCTGAGGGGATGTGAGGGTATCCATGCGGTCAGATAAGTACAATGCCCTCCCCAGACCTTGGGATCTGACCCATTGCCTGGGAGAGTCCTTCGGAGCCAGGAAGGAAGGCACTGTCAGCCCCTCCTGCTTCCTGGGATCCCAGTCACCTATGGACTGATTTACTGGACACTAGCAGTGTGTATGAGTGTGTGTGTGTGTGTGTGTGTGTGTGTGTAAAGCTGAACAAGTTGCACTGGGGTGAGTGGGGTTGGCAGGGTCTCTGCCTCATGGCTCATCACCAGGGCTCCCCTCCCCCCATCCCTGACAAGTTCTATTGCTTTGTTGCCTCCAGACTTGAGGTCCTCTAAGCCCCCAGAACTGATGTGTCCCTCTCAGCTGAATGGAGGATGGAGGGCGTAAGGGGGCAGGGGTGGGGTGGGGTGTGCTGAGCTGTGTGGGTGGCCCATTCTGTGACTGCCAAGGAAACTGTCAACCTTTGATTTACAACCCCTCCGGGCCCCTTTCCCCTGCAGAGGGAGGTGGAGGAGAAGGGTCATGGGGTCTCAGGATGAGAAGGAGGCAGGGACCCTGAGGGCAGATTTCTAGGAGTGCAGGTTTGGGGAAGAATCAATGGCAGGAACATTTTAAATGAGGCAAGGGGCCCATCTCTAAGGGAAATTGCTTGGCTGTATATCAGCGGGAATACAAGAAAGAAAAAAAGGGATGTTCTGACAGGCAAGTGAGAGATCCAATCTGAACCAGTTCTGGAATGCAAGGCAAGAGACCTAGTTCCAGTCCGAGGCCCTAATTCTCAGTAAGCCCTGAGCAAGCCCCCTCCTCCCTGGGCCAGGGTCACATTCTACGGAATGGAAATGCAGAGGTAGGTAAGGTGATGTTTACCGTTGGGCATGCTGGGATTCCCTTGGCAGGGGCACAGAGCGGGTGGGTAGCAGGCAGCCGGCTGACATGACCTGGTGACCACCGCCCTCTCCTTCTCAATGGCCCTCCCGGGCCTGGGCAGGGCAGTTGGCCGCAATTACTGGAGACTCCTACACTGTGGTTATACCCTGACCTCCGTGCTTGGGGGTGGGAAGGGTGGGCCCCGCTGGAGCCAGCCTATGGCTGGGAAGCGTCCTTGTCTTGGACTCCAAGTTGCTGGTTTGGGAAGAGGTATTTTTTCCGGTCGAAGCCACTTTCGGGAATTGGGCCGGGACCAGCCCCATTTCCTTTCCCAAGTGTCCTGCTTGCTGATGCCTGCTTGGCATGGTCCTGTGGCCAGACCGGGGCAACCCTCCATGTGGCATAGGGAGCCCCTGCCCCATGTCTTTGAGGAATGGAGGTAAGGGACAGCCAGAGCCTCTGCCCCCTAGACAGGGCACCGCGGCCTTGGATGGGGGAGGAGTGACTGGCTGATCCTATTCCCAGGAATGCCTGCAGGGATATCTACTCTCCCCCTGACCATTCCTCTTTCCCCCGCAGGCCCCAGGAAGCCCCAGCCAACTGCTCTCAGCAACTCACTAGCTGCCTAACTGCGGTGGCTTATGGGGCACTGTCCCGCCCCACTCTGCTAAGATGCTCCTAGCCTCTCCCTCCACCCCATCCAGGGCACGGACCCCCAGCGCGGTGGAGAGGCTGGAGGCCGACAAAGCTAAGTATGTCAAGACGCACCAGGTGATAGCGCGACGCCAGGAGCCAGCCCTGCGCGGCGGTCCGGGGCCGCTCATGCCGCACCCCTGCAATGAGCTGGGGGCCCCTGCATCTCCCAGGACGCCCAGGCCGGCCCGCCGGGGTAGCGGCCGGCGGCTGCCAAGGCCGGACTCCCTCATCTTCTACCGTCAGAAGCGGGACTGCAAGGTTTTGGTGAACAAAGAGAACGCCAAGGGCCAGGGGCTGGTGCGACGCCTCTTCCTGGGCACCCCCCGAGACGCCTCCTCGAGCAGCCCGGGCCCAACGGAGCGACCTGCGGCTACAGGAAGTTGGACCGCACCCCAAGAGGCCCCCGGAAGCGGCGGGCAAGCGGGCGCTGTGCCCCACGTGCTCGCTGCCCCTGTCGGAAAAGGAGCGCTTCTTCAACTACTGCGGCCTGGAACGCGCGCTGGTGGAGGTGCTGGGTGCCGAGCGCTTCTCTCCGCAGAGCTGGGGCGCGGACGCCAGCCCCCGGCCCGGAACGTCGCCGCCGCCTGGCTCCGGGGACACCAGCGACTGGACATCCAGCGATGGTGGCGCGGATCGCTCAGATCACGCAGGCGGCGGTGGCGGCGGCGACTCGGAGGCAGCGGGATCCGCGCGGGACGGGCGCCCCCCGGTGTCGGTGG